AAATGGTAAAAGTTTTCTCCTCAGGGCATTCAAACTAAGTTCCAGTGAACTGACGTGATAAAGATAAGAGATATGTAAAAATAAAATTCAGATCCATATTAGTTTTATTTCATACCCAAAGCTTGATTTTCTAAGTAAGTAACAAGAATGAAAATAGAAAGGGAAGCAATTCTGAAATATCCAAGAACAAACAACAACTTTATTTGCAGGTTCTATACAAATATTCTTGTATACCTATATTAATTACATTTTTTAATTCACCTTAACTAGTAAGTTTTTCGACTTTGTACTTACCGTAAAAAGATGAACAGGTGTTCGGAGTGGCCAGGCTGCTTGTTTCTATGTTGCATCTAACACTGAATGCATGTTTTAGAGTTTTTTAAAAAACTGGTTTTTAAAAAATCTGTTTTGAGATGGGACATTACACCTATAGTATAGACTGTTTCTGGCAATTGGTTGTCTGTTGTGTTTTAAAAATTTGTAGGGAATAGAATCTTTCTTTTGCAGTGGCATGTTCCAGTGCTTCAATCCTCCTAAATAAAAATAAAATTCAGATCTGTATTAGTATTATTTGGGACCCAAAGTTCAATTTTCTGACCGAGTAGTGAGTTACTACTAACCGGGTGTTACTACTGAGTATTACTACTTCTCACTCCTAGTTTTTCCTAACTAGACTAATCTAGACCACATCTTCATTGTTGGAAATTGAACCATTTCCTTTGAAGAGACTCATAGAAAATATGGAGAACTGACACTCCTGTCCTTTCAAAACAGTCTTTTTACCCATTGAAAGGCTCATGAGTCCTCATTTGTCTCTCTTCTAGTTGAGTTAAACCCAGTTCTTTTAGTCATCGTCTCATAGCTCGTGTTTTCTAAACTCGTTATCATTTTTTTCCTCTGAACACTTCCCAACTCATAGGTTGATTTTTTTTTTTTTCAATTGTGGTGCCCCTAATCAGGTACAGTTCTTAGAAGTCTTAATGCTGAGCTGAGTGGAATAGGTACCTCCATGCACTACTTGTAGTGTTCCTGCTACCCAAACTGTATTTTGTCCTTTTTGTTGCGCTTATGTTTCTGACTTGTACTGAGTTACCTGCTAAAATCCTGGTTATCATTACCCCGTCCATTACTCCATTTTGTAGTTATATATTTGACTTTCCTTTCCTACACACAGTAGAGTGCATTCACCATTTAATTCACCTTGTTGATTTTTGCATTGTCTCCCAAATAATCAAGATAACTTTGAAATCTGATCCTGTACTTGTGAAGTGCTTGTGGTGCCTTTACTGCTCAGTGCCCTCTGCCCATACTGTATCCCGTTATGCAAGCTGTGGGTAAAAATATTGATAGAAAATATACCCAGGAGGAGCCTTTGCAGATCTTCATGTAAAGCGTCCTTTGAGACTAACAGCAGATCACTATTTGTGGTTAGTCTTTGGTCTTTGTCAAGCTAGGTATACTCACCGTGCAGGAGATTTATCAAGTCATGTTCTGCCCGTTTCCTTTTGACAATGTTGCAAATGCCATTCTCTTGACTACAGTAGTGTCTTAGAAAGTTTATAACCATCAGAGGAGTTAGCTGCTGGAGCCTTCCACTTTGAGCCAGAGAAACCTAACCAGGTGGTTTAAGAAGTTTATGAAGGGTGGTGAAATAGCACCGTTGCCTGAAAGACCAAAGGGTTAGACTCAGTAATTCTGAATGCTTCCCAAAATTAGACCAATGGACTTACAGTCATAGAAAATGAGTCTTCTGCTAAAATTCTTCTCAGATCATCTTGTACCTTTTAGCTTTATTTCAGGCACTTACAAGCTACATAGATATTCTCTGGTGATACTTGACAAGCTATTCCTAATAGCTACATTTAGGCTATAAACATATTCCAAAGGTCAGTGTGTTGCTACTGCATTGTGGCAGACACAGACATGGGCAGCTGTGAACAGCAAGGACAAGGAGTTAATTGAATAACAGTTTAATAGTTCCTGTCTGCGTTCCCATCTACTGGTGGTGGTGTTTTGGGCATGATAGTCTCCTGGTATAAGTAAAGCAATGCTAGTGGGAAGGGGTAATGTTTTTCATTGCATGGACTGAAATAGCGGAGAGAAGTAGACAAGCTTTTCGGCACACCACGTAAAGGGGTTGGGTACCTGTAAGCTTGTTACTTTGGAACTTGATCATTTGGCCTACTCCATCTCCATATAGCCCTTGCTTGGCCCAACACCACAAAACAGTTTTTCTCTGTTTTATTCAGAGATGAGCAAAATTTTATGGGTTCTACATTATAGAACATGTTATTTTATATGAAGCTCATCTCTTTGTAGCTGTACTAGGTTTCTTTCTCTTCGTGTATAGGTTATTAATGCTACTCTCCATTCTATGTACATTAGCACTACGTTAGTATGACAATTTTGCTTTTCTCAAGTCCCTATCATTACATTGATGGCATAATAATGTGGCCCTTGTATTTTTAAAATGGCTTTCATTGTTACCTATTGTGAAGCTTTAACAACTTTTAATGTCGTTTTCTTTTAGTCATTTTCTAATATAGTCCTGAAATAAATTTCTTATGTTCTGTTCACTCATTGTTTTTTGCTGCTTCAATGGGTTAAAGTGCCTATTACTGGTAAGTATACTGCAAGAAATGGGAAGAACTGCAAATCCTGAGGTGGTTTGAAATGTGTGTGATTTAATATGGGTAACACTACAATAAAAAGTGACTGCTACATGTCACTCACACTATTAGGCAGTGTAGTGAGGCATAAATGTACTGAAATTAGCAACTTGTGTGACTGTTCAAAGAATTGGGTTTCGTACTAGATGATCTCATTTCAGAAGGCGTTAACGGGGTTTGCATTTTGGCGTGATTGTAGATAAGCCAACCTTTGGGGTGTTCATTTTTTTCCTAGAGTGTTTTACTTCCTAATTTAGATCCTTTGCAAGGAAAATGGTAAATTGATTTTGAAGAAGAGTAGAAGGTGTCAGCTACCCACTTCTCATTTCGGTAGCCACTTTCGAAAAAGGTTTCAATTAGAATTTTTCTTCCTGTGTAAATTCATTTGAACTGCTGATTGCTAATTTAAAAAAAAAAATCACAGAAGGGATTGACTAAATGTGATTGCTTCATACAGCTTTGACATTTGGTATTGATAAGAGGATTGGTGTAACACAGGGTATTAGAGGAGGCTTCTTTGTTTATACAGCACAAAAACTGCAGCTGAAATCAGCACACTCAACAGTTTCATTTCAGTACTAAAAGACCTGAGTTAAAATGACCACCGTGGAGTGCTGATTTGTCTTCCCAAATGGAGGTGGTGTTCTGAAGCGGTAGCATAATTGCTCCTCTTTTTTACAGGGATCTCAATTTACTGTTTGTTGGCTTTAGACAAATGATGTGCTGATAGCACTACAGAGTTATTCTAATTTATTGTTTAAGGTGTAGTATTGCTATTGATACATATTAGCCATTAAAAAAGTTACTTTAGGTGATAGAGGCTGGAGTTCCCAAGTACATTAATGTCATAAAGTTTTGTAGCTTCAAATAAAATGCCCTTCAGACATCTTTATTGTGGGATGAAGGATTGCAAACTTTTGTACGTGTTTGCAGTTCAATTCCTTTATGTACTTCACAGTATTTATGTGCTGGAGAGTAGTGCTTTGCGTTCTCAGAAATTAGACATGTTTTTGAAGGAAAAGGTTGGAAATAGATGTTGATATGTATAGCAGCAGGTGTTACTGCCCTGCAGATACCAAATGCATTGATTTCTTGTGAATACAGATGAAAATCACAGTGCGACAGCAGAGTCCAGCCGGCTCCTGGATGTCCCTCGTTACCTCTGCGAAGGCACAGAGTCCCCCTACCAGACTGGGCAGCTGCACCCTGCCATCAGGGTGGCTGATCTGCTGCAGCATATTAACCTAATGAAGACCTCTGACAGCTATGGATTTAAAGAGGAGTATGAGGTGAGATACTCAGTGGTGGGTTTTTGCTAGGAAAAATCCTTTTGAAAGGGGCAGCCTTTTGTTTGTATTGCATTGCAAAAGGATGCAACTAAATGTCATGGGTTTATGTGAAAAACACATAAAGATAAGCAGGCATAAGATTCCTATATATATGTAACCCAAAAGTGAAATAGTGAGTGAAGTCCAATGGTTTGAGCCATTAGAAGTG